CCCAAGAAGCGCTTGTTTAACGTCATTAGCTTGACGAAACCTGAGGGAAACTCAACTGGGATCTAGGAAGAAGTGACGGTCATGCCACGCCTTCGTATTTTCGAGAAGTGGTAGCCCATGCAGTGTGGCTAGAACGCGGGCATAGTGGATCTGGGTGGTCATGTTCTGGATAAAGAGGTCTCGGGTACGAGCAATCCCCAACTCTAGACGTAGAGCTTTTCCCACTCGAGCTCTATCGTCAACCTCCAAAAATATAAGCTCATCGGTGGAGCAAGTTGAACTGAATGCTCCCCTCTTCGTAACACAGTGCAATAGCCCCGAAGATAGATGCTCTAACTCGGAGGTGGGAGGAGAGACTTGAGAATCAAGCCCATGGATCTCCTCCTCTAAAATATCATCAAGCCCATCATCATCTTCTTCGGCCTCACACATTTGCTTCATCGTGCAGGCTTGAGTATCAAGCATGAAGTGGGGGTCATCGACTTTTGCCTCGATTGAGCTGGTATGTGCTGCAAGAATCTCCATTTGTGTGCTCAGTCGAGCACACCCGAGCTCAATCTCCACATCTCGAGTGGACTGGGCAGATATGCGAGCAAGGATGAGATCGAGCTTCTCATCGAACGACAAAGTAGCCTCCCGAGGCTCGTCCCTATGTGTAGGTTCGCCTTGAGCGGTGTGCTCGGGAGTGACGCTGGTAACTCGATCCTCTAAGGCTTGCACGCGCTCCACTAAGTGCTCGATTTTGAACTCCAGATTGCTCCTACGGACCGTTTGGGATGCCAAAAGAGCGAGAGTCTGGTCGAGCTTTGCATTGTATTCAGAGGAGTCCTCGAAAGACTCATATGGCTGCTCAACAGGCCCGTAGTCCCACTGCTGCTCGTAAGGATATGGTAAGGTCTGGCTGAAGTCCCAAGAATTGTGGTAAGGAAGTGGTTGGGCACACTGGGCTGTGGTTTCTTCTTCCTGAGCTAACCGGGATGTTGCGATTCATAAATACGGTCGAGCTTCGGAATTAAGTTCTGATATCGATAACACATAAAAGCAAAATAAATCCTAAACATACTAATCAAATAAGGGAGTGAATAATTATCAACTAAGAAATGAATAACAATGCAAAATGTAAATCTACCTAAGAATATGAATGGAACGAAGATGGAGAAGCTAGGGAATCGGGGATAATTAATTCGAGTTCTAGCAAAGTCGGGCAATCAATTGTTCGGTTCGAGATTGACACTCTCGCCTAAACGTCTAGCGGTTCGCTCCCAATAACTCTTCGTAACAAGGGATTGAATATAGACGAACAAGCTCAAGCATACAAAACGAGTCAATGATCCCAGTCCCAATAACTATTCATAACAAGGGACGAGTCATCGACAAGCTCGTATTTCAATCTAAAACACATAGATTATTCAATTACGAGATTATCTACCTCATGCGAGCCTAGGTCAACGACTTCTCCCCTTTTGGCTCTACAAGTCGCTAATTAACTAGAAGGTGTTTAATCAACTAATCGCATAGAATCAACAAAACCCTAACTCGACTAATCAACATTCAATTATTACCAATTGCAAGATCGAAGTGTCACTCTTCGATTATATCAATCAATCAAGCAAGATTATATCAATCCCTAATCAAAACAACTCACGTAAGAATGAACAAATCAAAGCCCGACAAATGCATGTTAAACAAGAACAATCATCCCATATCCCTAGCAATCAGATTCAGCTACGTAAAATCGATTCAACACAATCAATCATTCTCTCCAAATCAACCATTTTCAGGAATTGAATAAAAAGAGAAACTTACAAATAATCCCAAGTTCAAGTGTTGAATTCCAAATACAAGCTTAATCCCTAATTATTAACAAGAAGAAAAAAATTGAAAAGAAGGGTGAAGAGAAGAGGAGAAGAGAGGAAGAGAAGAAGAAGGAGGAAGAACAATGGAGGGAGGAGTCAATTTTTAGAGTTAGGGTTCCTCCCCCATCGAGCACCCCCCTCTTCCCTCGTCTACTATGAAAAAGATGAAGAAAAACTAAGTTTTTGGGTCTTGGGTTCGATCTAATATCATTTTCCCATTCAAAATCCACGAAAATCGCGTCAGTTACAAAACAGGCCTTAGCGCCGCTAAGGGGTTAGCGGCGCTAAGCCTTCTTAGCTGGTTTCCTCTGTCCCGCTTAGCTGCCAGAACCCCGCTAACCACGCAGGCCTTAGCGGCGCTAAGGCCCCCGACAGCTTTGCGCGTCGACTTTGTTTTTGCTCGTACGGGCTCGTTCAGACTCGGAATTGAGTTCCGTTTTTTCCTACGCGTCTCTAACGAGCCCCTCTTTCTAATGGTGTCAGCCTTCCAAAAAGATTCTCGAAAACCTGTTCTCCCGGAGTCTCCAAACTACACACCAAATACGAAAAGAGAACAGAAAAAGACCGGAAAACAAACGGAAAACACCGCAACACTCAAAAGAACGCAAAACACATAATAAATGACAAAAAGATCCTAAAATCACCTAAACGACTCAATACGGGGGAAAAAGAACAGCAAAAAGACAACGAGAAACACAACAAGAATGGGACAAACACCAAGTTTTCGGAACATCCCTTGGGGTGGGCAAGTGTCAAGAAAAAAGTCCCTCGTTTGTGGAACACCCCTGATCCCCCGATAGGGGTGGGCGAGTGGTCGCTCGTTTTTGGAAC